TGGAAATGCTCGCAGCTCGCCCGCTCCAGTGCCACAAGTGTTGGAGGCTCGGCCACATCCGGGCGGCCTGCTCCGCGTCAATTGACCGGAGTGGGCTTTGTTACCGGTGTGGCCGGGCGGGGCACATCGCGCGGGACTGCGCAGGGAGCGCGGCCTGCGCGGTGTGCTCGGAGGATGGAAGGGCCTCGGGCCACTGGGTGGGTGGTCCCGAGTGCCCAATGGGGGGTGGTGCTCCGGCGGGCGGAAGACCGCCGGGGCATCGCAGGGGTCGGCCGCCGAACGCGGGCGGCTCAGGTTGCCCCCCTACGGGAGGCGTGCCGGCGGACCCCGGGGAATTGCCCCGGGATCCGGCCGGCGGAGAGGGCCCCGGTCTGACCATCTAGACCGGGGCCACGGCGCCGGCCGAACATCAGGCCGGCGTCGAGGGGGGTCGGTGCCGGGCGGAACCTCCGCCTCCACCGGTCCCCCCCCTCTCCCCTACGGGTCGCTTGGGGGGTGTGCGGGGGCGCACCCTCCAATCAAAGCGGCCCGGGAGGGAGGCGGCGCGGTGTTGGGTCGCACCGCGCCGCTGCTCAGGAGGAGCGCGACCGGGGGTGATTTATTACCCCCGGTCCGGGTGGCGTCCTCAGGACCGCGGAGGGGGGTTCGCGGATGTTATACGCAAGTGGTTCCCGCGGGCCCCCTGATGACCGCTGAGGACGGACCCGCCAGGGGTTTTAGTGGGTAGGGCCCCCCCCGAGCATCCTCGGGGGGGAGGAGCCCCACATAACCCGCGGTCTCCCCCCGGAGATCGTGGGTATGCGTAACGCATTTCCCCTGGCTCAAAAAAAAAAAAAAAAATGGGGTTCCGTCTAAAGTTATAAATATTACTTGGTTATCATTCCGCGATAAAAGTGCTTCACGAGTTTCGTTAATTTTTACTAGTGGTTGGGGTCGCGGTAAGTTTATTGGTACTGAATTTGACTCGAACATTTCTTCGTCTTCGCTGCTCTCAGTTTCATCTATAAATTCTAGATCTGAATGTTCCTCAGCTGAGGTCGAAAATATGTTATCCCATCTTATGTTTCTTATTTCAGGTTGAACCTCATTACTGATTTCGTTACTAATATTATTGTAATGTATCTCGATTTCTACGGCTGGTTCTTCATCATTAATATTTGGGGAACTTTGAATGTTTGTAGGAGGGAATGTGAATGTTTGCTCCGCTTCCGCGGGGGGTGAGGATAAAGCATTGTCATCCAAGCTTGCAATTGGGGGTTGATATTGTGAGAGTTGTGTTGGAATGCGCGAGCTATCGCGAGTGTCGCTACAGTGTAATTTACTGGGTGCGGTTTGGTAAGAAAATAGAGATTCGTTAGAGGATTCATTTGGAGCAAAGGGATCTGAAGTAGAAAGAGGATTGCTCGAGGCAATCGGAGGATTTCTCGATAAAGCAAATGCGTTGCTGTTGAGGGTTCCTTTTTTATATTGGATTTCGAACTCATATTCTGACAATTTAGTACGCCATTTCCATAGGCGCGATGAAGGATCTTTAATAGAATTTAACCACACGAGAGGTTTATGATCCGTAACAATTATGAATTTTCTACCGTACAGGTAGGGTCTAAAATGATTTATGCAGTAAATGATGGCCAGGCATTCTTTCTCGATCGTCGAATAATTTTGCTCTGCTTGATTTAAAACACGGGAAGTGTAAGCGATAGGGAGATCCTTTCCCATGGGACCTTGAATTAAAACTCCGCCTATAGCGTATCCTGACGCATCTGTCGTTAAATTAAAAGGTCGCGAAAAATCTGGGTATTGTAGGAGCGGTTCAGTAATTAAATAGTTTCGTAATATTTCAAAAGCTGTGTTTTGTTGTGCACTCCATAAAAATTGCTTATCCTTCTTTAATAAATCTGTTAGAGGTTTAGCTATCTTGGAAAAATTAGAAATGAAACGTCGGTAGTAACCGGCGAGTCCTAGGAATTCTTTAATATTTTTGGGTGTTTTAGATGTTGGAAATTCTTGTAACGATTTAATTTTTGAAGGGTCGGGCTTTACTCCGTCTGAACTTATAATGTGACCTAAATATGTTACTTCGTGTCTCAAAAACTCACACTTGTCAGGTTGTAGCATTAAATTTGCTTCTCTTAATCTTTTCATTAATCTCTTGAATTTAATGTGATGCTCCTCTAAAGATCGAGCGTAAACTACAACATCGTTCATATATACGAAAAGTTCGTTGCCCTGTAGGCCTGATAATACATTGTCCATTAGCCGTTGAAAGGTTGCCGGCGCGTTTTTGAGTCCAAATGGCATTCTCTTAAATTCATAATGCCCATAGGAGGTACTAAAAGCAGTTTTAGGCGCATCTTTCTGCGACATCGGAATTTGGTGAAAACCGGACGCGAGATCTAGTACGGAAAAATATTTCGCGTTACCCAATTGATCTAAAATGTCTGTAATGTTAGGTAACGGGTATGAATCGCCTATAGTCTTTTCATTTAATAGTCGGTAATCTATCACGATTCTCCATCTTCTGTTTCCGTGCGAGTCTGCCTTCTTTGGCACTATTGTAACGTCCAGGCCTCCAAAAACTTTAAAACTTTTGCGCCACTATAATACTAAAAGGCCATAATAGCCATCGGCCGATTTGTACTAGATGAGATGCAGCATCAGTAATATTTTAAGTAAAACATTACATTTTTATTAATTCAGCTGTTAAAAAGGCCGAGGCTATAACATAAAATATTGGCGATGCAAGCAAAGGCATCTTAGCATAGTAAAACATTATTAATAAAGAACTATGAAGGCCATACGTAACAGCGGAATTGTTAATATAATTAAGATAATATAGAATAAACGCGTAGCGACTCGCATGGACACGATCAAACACGTCTGGCATGACATCATCATATCACCATGCATCACGCCACGGTGCATCACGTCATTCAGCCACCCACATGCAGTACCAGGAAGCTGAAGAGCAGTGGAATCCCTTTGATGAAAGCCGACTCGGGACCACCATGCCACCCTAAAATTCGGCGATGCAGCCCGACCGCCGTCGGAAGCCACCGGACTTGAGCGAAGCAACCACCGGAGCCCTATATAAACCTTGTTCCCGGAGCGCGCGGGCGGAGTTCCTCGACATTTTTCTCACACACCACATATAATTTTGCGACAGTCTTTTCTTGTAATTTCACACATTGAATACGACACATAATTTTTGAGACTACATATAATTTTGCGCAATACTACACTAAATCTTAGTAGTGGCAGTTACAAAGACACACAGTGCTACACATAATTTTTACACAAAGAGTAAGACATAATTTCCTCAGACACATACACATTATTTTGCGACAACTCTTTTGTAATTTTTCAACACAACATTATATATAACTTTCCTGCGACAGATACACGACAGTCTCAATATCTTAGCCGATAATCCTTAACGTAATTC